CCTGCTATTTACCCATAGATGTAGGGAGAAGAAGAGGATGCATACCTTTCGCAAAGGTATTATCACGTAAGTGAATGTAATGGATTCGAACTCGGCTTACCCATTCCTCAACACGATGTGCTATCCATTACTCTACCGTACACTATATTTTGTGGGAATTCCATATACAGTAAAAAGGGAAGTAATATTTTTAAATGATCCAGAGTGATAAATGTTAATAACACCACGATGCCAAATTTTCTGCATTTTTTCCAAAAGAATTCGCTACTAGTTACATCTGAAGTCTTCTTTGAACAGTCAGATGACAGGTTACCTGGAATTAAATAAAGCTCTTATTAATAAGAAGAGATGGGATTAATGCATGAAAGATTTCACATCTCGACCATCACTCCTTCATAATCAGCCTGTGAACATTTATGCCAACCATCGGTTTAAGTATTCAAATGAAAAGTAAGTACATGTAAAAATAAATCCTTCGTTCTCAGTCAACGTAATTGATGCAATAAGGCTAAATGTCGAGCATGCATTAAAATCATTCGTTCAAAATCTTCAATTTCAATATGCGAGCATGTTTTAAAAAACGTTTACATCAACTAAACTACCGTTTCGAATGACATAAGTAGCACCTGTCTATATTTCTAAGATGAGGTATTATGTCCACTATTTATTATTCAGACTATTGTCCTCATCTTTGTCGCCATATTTATCACAATGTTTCGGCCTTTGAAGAAGGTCGGAGCGTACAACAGTCTTGTCACCTTTAGCTTGATCGAGGAAGCAGGCCAATATTTCTATTGGTTTGATTTCGGATTCAGGGACACAGTACCACTCCACAAGTTCCTGCAAGGTCTTTTTGAACGATGTCCATATCATCTTGCGACTAATTCTTGATTGGTTAGCAGTTAATTCTCAGGTTAGATCTACACCTACATTTCTCTACCGAATATGATCGCTTGTTTATTAGATCATACATCCGTTGAAATGGAAGGCAAAAATCTAATTCTTCAAATTTCGTCAACCACTCTGAACTCGTGCTTATACGGTAATCTTTGGTGATCCATTTTCTCAGTATCTATTTATATTTCTGCGATGAGGTATTATTTCCACTATTTACATTATTCGGTCTATTCTCCTCATGTTTGTCGCCATATTTATTACAACGTTTCAGCCGTTGTACGCTCCGGCTTTCTTCAGTTGGTTGGAATGTCGAACTGAACTCATTATTTCCCTCACTGGGGTAGACTTTTCTAGTTCCCCGTGCCATGCCTAATGTTTGTTAGTTATTAGTTATCTTCTCTTAATAACGGGACCCAAAGTGTGTGAGTTCAATATCCGGGTAAGGTAGTGGAGAACTTGGAGAGGGGAATTACATCCATTAAACATGACACGTGGAACTAGAACAGTCTACCCCAGTGAGCGAAATAAAGGGTGTTGTTCATGATGACGGTCGTCTTTGAGTATAGAATCCAGGGGTTAGCAGTGAATATTTCGAAGACAGGGTGTGTACTTCAGGTTAGCAGTGGATATCACGGTAAAGTAGCAGAGCGTAGTTCTTCCTTCTGTTCCTCTTCGCCTGACAAGCTGGCACTGGACATTCGGATAGAGTAAACAAAATGGCCGCCTTTATACACGACGGAGTGAATATTCTACGTCTTCTGATTGGTTAACCTTCTATTGGTGAAATATAAAATGAGTCAAGTCATTTGGGTTGGCTCACTAGTCCAATGTATCCAAAAATTGTAACAAAGGGTTCAGTTCGACATTCCAACCACCTGAATAAGGCCGGAGCATACAACGGCCGAAACGTTGTAATAAATATGGCAACAAAGATGCGGACAATAGTCCGAATAATGTAAATAGTGGATATAAGTGGCATATGATTTTGACATTTATTTATCAATAACTCTTTCCTATAATCTGTATTTTTTTTTTTTTTTAGGTCAGTACTTGTCAATATCCTTCAATTATTTCGGACATGTGTCACTGTCATCAAGAGATCGTGACTTCAACCCCAAATTCTTATCACCCTTTTCAATAGTGACAGATAATTGCCTTCCTAATCTTTCGTTTGAAGTGATCTGGAACGTTAACATCTTGATTATGTAATTATTTTCTCTTCGAGATAATCTGCTCTCCAATTTAGTTGTTGCTGGTGTTGAAATTCCTTAAGTGATGTCGTTTCTTTTATCTGGTACATATCTTGGTTTGTTATTCTGTAGCGCCATTCGACTAGGTTCAAAAAAGAGTAGTCCTCCATAAATTTCTAGGATTAATATACTTGATAGCACTTTTAATCATTGGTCTGAGAAAAGGATTTTACATAGCTGTCAGTTTATATTTTTTTTTGGCGAACGTGTTTGGTTCTGTTCCACGCATCCTTATTACAGAATGTGGATTTGTAGGGACTATTAATTAGATAATAATATTTACAATTTTCATGGGAGATTAAGTTGAAAGATTGATAAAAAAAAAATGAAAAAGAACCGGATTGAAAATTATGTTTAAAAATAATTAAATAAATTTACGAACATTTCCAGGGAAAATCGAAACCAGAATTAATTAGCCAAGACTGAGCAAAACTAGGGTACCCAATCCTATCCACTTTCTGCCGATGAGAAAATATTATTAATACTTTGTCCGACTTTCTTTAATCCTGAAAAATTTAGTTCAGGGGTTTGTTTCTATTATATGATCTGTCCAAAACGTGTGTGGTATCACAGAAAACAGTAATCCAAATTATTTTAAACAAAAAATGGAAATATGTTCTGTTTATGTCCCAATCTTTGGGTTTTGTGTACATTATACTATCTGTTCAAAACGTGTGCATTCTTAGAGATTATTCTAGACAAAGAAAAATTTTGTATTTTGTTAATTCTCAGTTTGTGGATTTATTTACGTTATTGTCAAAGAACAAAATTATCTTTACAGAAATATATCTAAGGAGGTGCTAACCAAAGGGATTACCGTATAAGAAATTGGTATATGAATGTCAAATTCGGGGTGGGCGTGGACTATATAAGCAAGAGCTCCCCAGGCACACTTAAACGGAAAATCAGTCCAACAAAGATCTTCAGCGATTAGCTCCAGTCGATTTGCTGTGGCAGAAGAGTGACGAAAAACAAAGAAGTTGAAACGGCCCAGTAGAAGTCCGCTCGGAGATGCCCTGGATTGCTCGTAAGACAGTAGTCGGTAAAGGGCACACCCGCAATTCCCGTGACAAGAATGAAAGCACGGACACATGCATGACAAGAATTGAGTGAGATTCAACGGGCTGGTTATTACTTTGAAGAACTGAACGAAAGTTTATTGGCTGGTTATTACTTTAGCATTTGTGACAAGATTTTCTTACAGCAGAAAACGTTTGCGGTAGATAATAGAGAAATTTTATTAAACCAGTTTTTCTTTATATTCAGTAAACCTGTTGTTAGAGTTATCAAATGTGTTCTACATTTCATGTAATGAGTCCTTATTTCAGCTTAATCACGACGGCACTTGCACGCAAAGAGACAAATGTTACAACAGCCACAAACAAGAATTGTGCAATGTTGTCTGTGGTACAAAACGTATCAGGTGGTCTCAACACTAGACATCGGCGTCAATCCCCAATACCGTAAGACTTTAGGAAACTCGAATCAAACCTCTTGAAACGACACTGAGGAGGGAAAGGATAGACGGATGACCGTAAAGGCCAGTATATCTATATCTATATCTATCTATATATATATATATATATATATATATATATATATATATAAAACAAACGACTGAATAATGGAGAATGAGAAGAAGAGGAAAAGAGAAAGAGGGGAGTGTGTGCGTAGTAAGCGCAGTTGAGGATTACAATTGGTTCAGAAAATGCTTCATAATTTATAATGCTTGATTAAGTCAATTTAGTTCCAACCATAATCGGTTGCGTACGAGGATATGCCTGGAAATTTCTATACTAAGAAAATTTGGTCTCTTTAAACTCAATTTCCGCCAACATAAGATTATAACAATTTAGCTAGTGTTGTGTTCCAAGTCTGTGTAATGATTGTAGGTGCCAATTTTAGATTTTATCCACAAGACCATTTATGCAGTTGAAATCCGGAAATATTTAATACACTTTTTTTTTTTTTTTTTTATCTTAGTGGACTCTATTGAAACACGGTGTGCATTTCTATTATCCGCTGGATATATCCTCTTCCACCAGTCAGGATAGAATCAGTTGGCTAAAAATGTCAAACTTCACCTATCTGCTTATTGTGAACAGAAGCATCAAATGTACCCTTTTTCTGCTAACATGCAGCACGAAACGAAAAGCCTCCATGTTATTCGGTGTAAACAGGTCACGTTCAAGTAACTATTTACCAACCGAGGGACGCCTATATTTCTGTTTTGTCAGTTTTATGTTTCTTTATTTAACTTCTGTTTTCCTCATTCAGTTTTTGCTATGTTGTCGTTTACTTTTATTCTTTCTGTTTTGGTTTATTTGTTATTTTAATTTTTCTAGTTTATTTTTATTTATTTTTACATCCGTTCTTTTGTCTTTTCTGCCTTTCTTTGTACTGTTTCTTTTTGCTGTTTCCTTTTTTTTATTTTTAACGTTTTTTTTACGTTACTTTATTTAATTATTCTTTGTTTCTGTTTTTTTTTTCTTCTGTCATTGTTTCTTTTATTTTTAGCCTTTCTGTTTTACGTCTTATTTATATCTTTTATTTTTCGCTTTTCTTTTCTTTTTTCTGTTTTATTTTAGTCTTCCTAATTTAATTTAACCAATTAATTTTTTGTTTCTTTTTCCTTTTCTTTATTTTCTTCCTTTTTACTTTCTTTTTTGTCTTTGACATTTGTCCTGTCTTTCTTCGACCTTCTTTATGCTACCCTCTTTTATTTTGTCCTTTTTATCTGCGTTTTCGCTTTTTTCTTATCTTTCCTTCTTCGTTTATCTTTTCTAAGTTTTTTTCTCTAACTTATTCTTTTTGTGATTTTTTTCGTCTTTTTTTTACTTCCCTTTTCTTTAGGGCTTTTATTTTATTCTGGTATCCTTTATTCTGTTTTTCTTTATTTATCTTTTTTTTCTATTCGTCGTTTCTTTCTTCGCCTTTTTCCTTCGGTAATTATTTTCAAAAGTTTTTATTTTCTTTTCTTAAATATCTTTCTATTTATATTTTCTTTCCTCCAATTTTGTTCTTCATTTTAAAAAATGAAGAAAAAATATTCCTTAATGAATTAATTTTTAATATGTTTTTTTTTTCCTTATTTACATTCTCTGTGTTCATAGGAATCGATTTATTTCTGTTTTTCTTCATCTTCTTTCCTCATTTTAATTCTTCCGTAAGATAGTTCCTTTATTTCTTTATCTTTTGTCTGCGTTCCTTTCTCTGTCTCGTTCTTAAAACATTTTCCTTCCCGACTTTCCTTACACTATCTTACATTCCGTTTTTCTTCTTGATTTTCATTATTTTCCTCTTTTTTTAAAATTATTTTCATTTACATTCTCTATTCTCTTATTTTTTCATTACTTCTTTTCTCTCTGTCTTTTCCCTTATTTCTTGTTTACCAGATTTTATTGGCAACGTTCCGAATTTCAATGCAGATATTAACGTGTCTCCTTCTCCTTCTATTGGCGACGCCATTTTGACTTAGCGCGCGAGTGTAACGACAAACAACGATCGCTCTTGGGGTCGATTCATTGTTTGTTCGTATTACATTCTATTTTGCCGCTCGCTTCTTCGCAGCCATTGTTCTGGCTGTGTTTATCTCGCCATCGAATTCATTTTCTTTGAACACTGACATTAGCAACAAAGTCTTAAATATTTGATTGACTTTTCTCTCTGATTTCTATGCAAGCCAGTAATTTATTTTAAATAATAGATTACGAATTTCTAAGATTCATCATTCGTTTGATTTATTCGGAAAAAGAAACTGTTTTTAATAATGAGAAGCCTTTCGTTTAATAATGATAAAACTATATCTTGTGTTATTATTTTATCTACTGCGATCATGGCCCTCTTCATCTTCTTTTCCTTCGTAGCTCTAACCAATATTTACAAAGTTAATATCCCTACAAACATACCGCTTTTGTGTTAACAGCCATTACTGAATTTGTATATCAAATTCTAGATCAGAACAGCTAAGCGCGGGCAGTGGTTCTAGATACTTCGAAGGCGTTCAGCAGGGATTGGCATGCTGGCCTTCTACACAAGCTGCAGAGTTATGGTGTCACAGGAAGTATATTTGGTTTATTACAATCGTCCCTATCAAATCGTTCCTCTTTCCCTCCGCCCGCCCTGTAAGTATCAGATTTTCCAAGCCTACCTTTCTCATTTTGAGTCCCAGATATTTCAGCTGCCTCTTCCTGATGTTAACTATAAGGTTCCTCCTTGTTTGAATCATCTCCAAAAACTCATCGTTGCTCATATGTTCGTTCCATGTTATCATTACCATCATTCTGTAGAACCATACCTCTGTTGCCTCGAGTCTCTTTGAGGAGACCGCCCAACATTCGCTGTGGTAAAGGAGGATAGACACCACGTAACAGTTATACAGGGTGACCCATAACAATGGGAACTTTTTAACAATCCAATAAATAAAAGAGTGATGGAAGAAAAATATTTTATTCATAGTAATTGAAACCTTCAAATATGCCATTTAAGAAACAATGATTGAATTTTCATTTTTTAAAAATTACGTCCTGTAGATGGCGTCCTCCTGTACGAATGCATTATTGAAATCTGCTGTTGAGATTCCTCATTGACTGCTGCAACATCTCAGCTGGGATACTGTGAATTTCATCTTGAATTCTAAATGGCGAAATGTTTACTTGCTTAAGTTTACTGTCTTGCAGTGTTGCCACTTGCTCATGTCTGACAATACGCACTTCAAAAATTCCCGTTTTTTTGGGTGGGGTCAGCCTGTACCAGTTCTTTTACCAATATTATATTGTGCGATCGTTCTTTTTCTAAATTCTGGCTTTTTTACATCTTCACCATGAAAAAAGGTCCAAGATCCACTCGTGGTAGAGCGTTACAGATTAAGTGGCAAGTGGATAAATGTTGGATAAAGATTATGGTGATCGTGGAAGAATCCATTTGGCAGTTGGTTCAACGAAACAGACTTAACAATAAAAAGAACACATGACTGCCTATTAGATCATGGGCAGGAGTAGATTAATTACTGCTTATTTCTAGTGTAATGAATCGAAAATGACACGGAAAACATCAAGTTTTTAATCAGTTTCTTTAATTAGATTTTTATTTTATTTTATAAGGACTAAGAGAATATATCATATAAGTTTCATTACTAAACATCACATTAACTTAAAGAGGGTATAGTGTGTAGTTGATCAGAAAAATTCACGTATCATCGATTCTGTTGGTCTTAACCTGGCATCTCGGCTTCAGTCACTTTCCCACCGCCGTAACGTAGCTTCTTGCTTCATTTTTTTATAAATTAAACCTCTTTAAAAAAGTAAAGGAAAAACAGTGTTTGACAATGTTAAACATTATTTCGACAGTATACTTGTCTTCTTCTGGTTATATTTTTTTAAAAAAAGATTTTCAAATATATAAATATATAAATCTCCAAAAATTATAAATCTTTGTACAAACGTTGATTGTCTTGTAATGTAAAAAAAACGGCTGTACTGTTAATCATAGCTTCAAAACGAATAAAACACAGCCAGAGAGAAGGCAAGCAATTGAAACATGCTTAATATGATAGTGATCTTGTTCATCTTGAAATTTTCTGTTAGTTACAAAGACGAATTAATCAAACAGCTTAGTATAAATTTTATGGAACTCTCCTGTCATTTAATTTGCTTACGTAACCATCCTCATGCTTTTTAAGAGTCGAAAGATTCATTAGGGTTGTTAAGGGTCGGTAGATTCTGAAAACTTTTCGGAATGTGCACCTTAAGATGATTATCGTTTCACTACAAACGTCGCTTGTCTTGAAAAAAAATGGCTGTACTGGGAAACCAACTCATCATAACGAATGAAATGCCGTCAGCGTGAAGACATGCAACTGAAACGTGCGTAATATAATTGTGATCTTGTTCATCTTGAAATTTCCAGTTAATTGATTATTTACTAAGAAGAATTAATCAAACAGTTTAGTATAAATCATATCGAACTCTCTTGTCATTCTTTTCATTCTCCTGGGACAGAAAGTTAATAATTTGTTTACGTAACAATAATCATCCTTTTCAAGAGTCGCAAGATTCATTAGTGTTGTTTAGGGTGGGGAGATTCTGAATATTTTTTCGGAATGTACACATTAAGATGGTCATCATTTTATTACAAACGTCGCTTGTCTTGAAAAAAAAATGGCGTTACTTGTAAACCAACGCATTAAAACAAATGAAACACCGCCAGGCATGCTTAATGTGAAAGTGATCTTTCTCATTTTGGAATTTCCTGTTAGTTGATTAGTTACTAAAAGGAATTAATCAAACAGTTTAGTATAAATTTTATGGAACTCTCCTCTCATTCTGTTTATTCCCCGGGGCCGGAAGTTAAATAATTTGTTTACGTAACTATCCTTATGGTCATCGTCTTGTTACAAACGTCGCTTGTCGTGATAAAAATGGCTGTACTAGTAAACCAAAGCATAAAAACAAATGAAACGCCGTCACCGTGAAGGCCTGCTTAATGTGATGGTAATCTTGTTCATCTTGAAATTTTCCTTTAACTGATTAGTTACTAAGAGGAATTAATCAAACAGTTTAGTATAAACCTTATGGAACTCTCCTGCCATTTTGTTCATTCCCCTGGGACAGGAAGTTAAGAATTTTCTTACGTAACAATAATCATCCTTTTCAAGAGTCGCAAGATTCATTAGTGTTGTTTAGGGTGGGGAGATTCTGAATATTTTTCGGAATGTACACCTTAGGATGTTCATCATTTTTTTACAAACGTCGCTTGTCTTGAAAAAATGGCTGTACTTGTAAACCAACGCATTAAAACAAATGAAACACCGCCAGGCATGCTTAATGTGATGGTGATCTTTCTCATTTGGGAATTTCTCCTTAGTTGATTAGTTACTAAAAGGAATTAATCAAACAGCTTAGTATAAATCTTATGGAATTCTCCTGTTATTCTATTAATTCTCTCGAGACCGGGAATTTAATAATTTGTTTACGTAACTACCCTCATCCGTTTTAAGGGTCGACAAGGCGATAGATTCTGAATATTTTTTCAGAATGTACACCTTAAGATGTTTGTTGAAATTACAGACGTTTGTTATAAAAGGGGTCATTTCATTTGTTTTGACTCGTTCATCACCAGTACAGTCTTTTTCATTACTAGACAAGCAACGTTTTTACAATGACTTATAATAATTTTTTGTAGATTTTTATTTTTCATACTTGAAAAAAAAAATGCTTAAATATAACATGAAGAAGACAGACATTCTGTTGAAATATTGTCTAACATTGTCAAGCACAATTTTTTTTATTTACTTTTTAAAAGTCGTGCTCTTCTTTTCAACTGAAAAATAGAAAGATGTTAGCAAGATCCGTCCAACTCTCAAAAATAATAAATGCCGCTATATTGTCTTCCTACAAAATCAAGAAGCTCCCTCTCTCTTTCTTTCTCTTTCTCTATCTCTTTCTCTCTCTCTTTCTCTCTCTCTTTCTCTAAGGGAGGGGGAATGATAAAAATAATGACATTAGAACCATTACAAACGTTGCTTGGCTTGTAATGAAAAACAGATGTCTTGGTATTGAACTTGTCAAAACGAATGAAACGCCGCCATCTTTAAGGTATGCAATTGAAACGGGCGTAATATAATTGTAATCTTGTTCATCTTGAAATTCTCCGTTAATTGATGAGTTACAAAGAGGAATTGATCAAAGAGTTTAATATAAATCTTATGGAACTTTCCTGTCATTCTCCTTCCTTCTATCGTCGGGTCTATACTATTCCACGGTCTTTTGGGCAGAGGTAGAAGTTTACCCATTGTTCCCTGTTTAGGATTGGGTTTACGATTCTTTCTAAAGTCTACTTCAACTCCATAATTCCCATTAGTTTAACCGGGTCGATTTACAACTGATGAAGGCCGGAGGAAGACACAACGGCCAAAAGGTTGTGATAATAACAATAAAACTGATGA